TAATAAAATAATAAAAATGTACACAAATGAAATCAGGAATATATATTAATATCTTTAAACTTGTATGTAAAGACTAAAAATGGAAAAGTATATATAAAAAAAGCATGTAGCATTTTGAAGGGTGTAGAATAATACAGAGTGTTTGCAAACTTAGGCTAAAATATTTAATAGGAAAAAGATTGTAGTAATATTCATTTTCGATAATAAAAATTTATGTAAATAGTTCTAAACAGAATCAGCTGAGCTATCGCCGAAGTCAGCGGTTCTAAAAAAATTTTCTTCGTATTACTGTGATAAATCAGCAAACCAGTAGGTATGATTATTATTTACAGAAAATATTATTCAAGCTTTCCTGCCACGATTGATTTCATCTTCAAACATCCTCCCCGAAATTGAAGACGCCTTATACTGTGTTATTAGATTTCGGAGACAATGACTGTAAATACAATTTCTTAGACCTTACCATCTGTATAATGAAAAATATTTTAATTAAATTTATTTTTTGTATCTTATTGCACATTTTTTAAGTAATTTTCTTATCTGCTATTAGGGATAGAATCATAAATCCTAAATTTAGTACACCTGTAACTTCAAATATAACAGAATTTTCAAAATGTGAAATAGAGGTCAATAGTTTTTAATTATTGTTTAACGAAATTAATTTTTTAGTATTTTAAAATCATTTGGATAATATAAAGTACGTACTACATGAAATAATTATTATAGACTACTTTCTGAGTAAAAATATACCACCACATTTTCAACACAACTAATACATTGTCTCTTATTTAAATATCGGTTATGAATGCATTTCCCAAACTAGTTTGTATAATATGTATTTAGAAAGGATAATGTAAAATTTATGTCAAGAATTAAAATAAGTGAATAACATTAGACAATGAAGAATTAACATTTACCCGTTTTTTTAATACATATTTAAGTAAACATTTTAAACTTTATTAACTATACAAGAAATTTTCTCAAAGAAACATACAGCGTATCCACCTAGTGCGCGTAAGTCCAATATCTAGGTTAATAAAAGATATAACTTAATTTTTTTTTCTACATAGTTGCCTACTTTCCCGAGATGCACAAAATGAAAATATATTTGCATATACAGGGTGTTCAATGGAAACCTATATTTTTTATGGCATCGAATTCTACGTGAAAAATTAACGGAACTCTGTGTTGATCCCTATTAAAATATTGATAGTTTTCGAGATAATCGACTTTTCATTTTTTTTTTCTTATGTTTCGTCACTTCTAGTAGTTGACATAATTATGATTGTGACAGCTAGAAAATATTATTTTTCAGGAACTGTCGAGTGAAGATGGCTCTTTCAAAAAAATTGTATCAAAAGTTGACCTGCGATATACAGGGGGCAAAAAAAATCGTGCCAAACCTGATAATTTAAAATTTGAAAAATTTCGACTTTTTCAAATAGAACACCCTGTGTTTTATGATTTCATTAGATGCCTTTCTGTAGACCCTACAATTATTTTATAGCTTTCCCTATACCTGAGCTGCGTAGTTTTTGCAAAAAACCCATTTTTATGTAAAATACCGGATTTGTGCCCGTTCCTTTTTCAATATTTTAATAGGAAATCATAACACAAAGTTCCGTTAATTTTTCACGTAGAATTCGTTAAAGCCAAAAAAATATAGGTTTCCATTTAAAAAATTAAGTTGGTACCTGCCCAGGAAAAACTGAACACCCTGTATATGCAAAAATATTTTCATTTTGTGGAGCTCGGAAAAGTAGGCAACTCTGTAGAGAAAAAAAATAAGTTATACAATCACATAGAAGTTATATGGAGTTATAGAAACCGATCAAGACAGAAAAATGCACTGCGAGGCAAGATATCAATATGTGGTTAATACCGTTCAACTTTTGTCGAAAATTGAACCGGTGACATATAAACAACCGGCTTTTTTTTCTATCACTTCGGGAAATAGTATAAATGTTCCCAAAAGTGTTGAATTTGGCCCACTTATTTAAAAAAAAAACATTTCCTGTTGCCTGAAGTTACTTATTTTTGGCATAATCCGTAAAGTCTAAAAAACGGTTCTAACGTTAAATTTGTTGCATAGAACAGTTTTTCAGACAATTAATACTTTATGAACTTTTTTGTCAAAGGCGCGTCCAAATAACGATTTTCAGAAAATTGCTTTTATAACATACCTTGTGAATGCAATAAACATTGTATTGGAGAAACTTCTGAATCTGTAAACATTAGAATAGACGAGCACAATGATTGCATTAACAAACCGAAACATGAGAAATAAAAAAATTGCGATCACGCTTGGGAAAACGGTTATAATAATTCTATCGGGTTCAGTAAAATGTTGGGAAAGGAAAATAATATCGTCAAAAAGAATTAAGAGACCACAATTGTTTTGTTGAACGGTAAAAAATGCGTTTCAATTTATTCAGTGGACTTGGATTCTTGCCCACTACAAGATCTAAAAGTTGAAGTAAGTAATAATAGAATAAACATCATGTATCTCTAACTAAGAAAATAAGCAAAGATAAACAAATTTAAAATGTCAGAAATAATTAAAAATGAAAAGTTGTAATAAGTTCTGAAGACGAGAACATACATTTTCGAAACGTCAACAACATTTTGAAGTGAACGATTTATTATAGTGATGCGTATTTTGTATTTATCTTTTTTTTCCTCTTAAACGACTACCTGGTACACATGGATACCTGCAGGAGGGATACAGCCTAATGGCTTACCTTTTGATTTCTAACTTTTTTAATACTACTAACAGATGTCATTAACAATAATATAATATGTCGTTAAAAGGAGTTTGTGTTCAATTAGAAGCATTTTCAAACGAAAGTATAACGTATATATCAAAATTTTATAGGTGTTTTTCTCCAAACACGATTTTTTTAAAAGGCGCCCAACATAACTCCAACAATTCTCAGTCTATTTACTCTAAATTTTGACCATATCTTTAAAACGACATTCCGAAGTGTTGCACGAACAGGATTTTTGATAAGTTGATTATTTTTCGTTGAAATATCGGCTATTGGGTGAAAATCACCTTTTTTTTTGTCATCGATGTCTCATGAATTATTGATCGTACAGCGAACGAAAAATGGGTTTTGGAAACTTGAATGAACCCTCTTCAAGGACCTTTTGGTATGTTTAAGAAAACAAAAATTATACTCGGTGTTAATTTGAAGTACAAAAAATTATTTTTTTGTTTTGAAAAATCAGTGGCTATTTTGTAAATATTGCGAAAAGTACCAATGTATGTAGGTTTCTTTTAGCTCAATGCATGCCTATGAGACCTGTAAATTTTGAAATCGATCGGTCGAACCGTTTTCCTTTCCTGAATCATCAAAGTTTTTACAGTTATTAAAGGAGCAGGATTATTGCTCTTTAAACATCAGTTAATCATGATTAAGATGAAAAAAATTTTGCGTTATTTTTCTCACAATTTCCCGTTTACATATACATCAAATATAGAAAAAAAAATTCATAGTTTTGAAAAAAAAATCAAATTTTTCTAATCTTTTTTTGCGTTATTTTTTTTACAATTTCAAATCGAATACTTATAAAAAAAAATTAATAAAATTGAAGACTATCTTCTTAATGAAAAAAAAAATTGCAGTTTTGCAAAAAAACAGTTTTTTTTTACTTAAGAACTTTCGAAAAGGGGATAAAAAATTCGAATAGCGATGCATGGAAAAATTGCAAGATTCCCTTCGTAGTATCAACTTAAATTAATGCAATTAATTTTAACTTAATGAAATACTGACAGAAAATGCTTCAGTAAAATTTTCTGAATATTTTAAAATCAAAATTTAAGAAAAAAATTTTCAAATTTCAACATTTGGTCATTTGAACACACGAGATGAGGCAGGATAAAGAGGGATAATCCCCCTCGATCCCAAATCATTGAGGCCAATTTCTAGCCATAGAATAATGGCGCGGTCATTTGAAATATTCAATGTGAAATTGTAAAAAAAGATAACGCACTTAAAGAGGATTGATTCAAGTTTCCAAAACCCATCTTTTGTTCGCTGTAAAAATAATCGTACAGAAAATAAAACAAACAAATCAAAACTGAACTGATTAAGTCAGAAACAATTTTTCCGAAATTATGGGCAGTTTTGTAAAAAAAAATTGTAAAATTTTTGCCTTGCATTATTTCTTTTGATTGCGTTGATAGTGATGCCCAAAAAAATATACGTGGCTCATAGCCCATTATTCACAATTCAAAAAAAAGGCTTTGAAATGAGAATCCCAAAAACTCTTCAGCATCTTGTAGGGCGATGTTTAAACTTTAATTTAGGTACCTGGCAACATCAAAAATAACAATTTTTAACACGGAAATCGGCTGTTGAAAATCGTCATTTTCGCATTTTTAGCAAGTTACATTGTTAGATAACTTTAAAACTATCAATTTTAGAGGCATAGTGCATAGGAACTTTTTTATTTATAATGTACCAAAAAACCCAAAAAAAAACGGATTGAAAAAACCAATTTGTACAATTTGTTTTAAAAAAGTTTGTTTAAACAAATGGGCACCAGATTTCCAGCCGGCACATCTTGATTCATGTTAAGGAACATCTCACGAATCTGAATATGCAAAAAAATCGAGTCGGAAAATTTCGCCCACGAATGCGAGGTTTTCGCCTTGTCTATAAGCCATGGGCAGTTTTGAAAAATAAAATTTGTAAAATTTGTGCTTTGCATTATTTCTTTTGATTGCGCCGAGAGTGATGCTCAAAAAAATATTTCATCTCAAGATTTCAAAACTAGAATCTTTAAGCTTCAAGGTGCTTTGTTTTTCTCGAAATCACGAAATTACAGCCTTTCAAAAATCACTAAATAATTTGGAAATATTTCTGCTCCCTTAATTTTTTTGACGAGTTTACATACAACACTTTCACTAGAACAGCGAAGCAAAAGCAATGCCATCAGTTCAAGGTCGCGAAGCCCAGACTGATCGTCTTCTTCCGCATTCAATGAACACTTACCTTCCAATCCGAGATTTCGCTCAACCGTCCGGTCAGGACACATCCCGCCGTACCGGCACCGACAATTATGAAGTCGTATTCGACGTTATCCTCACTCTGCGTGGTGGAGCTTCCCGCAAAGTTATTCCGGTCGGTGGAGTAGTCGAAATTGTACCCAGGGAGGTGATGCGCGTCGTGAACCGGGGTAACACTATCCCTAGACCGCCCGAACAAATCCACCAGCAGGTTGAGGAACATGTACATCGACGGCTGGCACGTCGTCCTCGTGGAATGAGGGGTGCAAACGTTTCGTAGATCGTACGGGACCCAACTCATTTTGCGTGGTTCACTGTGCGAGCGAATTCACATCGTCTGATTGAGACCTATTGCAGTTGCTTATTAATACGAACGCGCTATCGGCGTTGTTAGGAAAGCTTTTAGTGTAGAAATTATTTAATCGCACTATAAATTTCTTGCTTAACTTCCTTCGGAAATGTTCAATGTAAGTGCGAGTATTGTAAAGCGGCGCGCGCAAAAACTTTAATTTGGTTTGTCCGTAAAAAGTATTCCGCGTGACCTACGAGTAAAAACGGGACTGGTCGTTGCCTTGGACGTGATTTTGAGGAAAGTTTTGCCTAATTTTGGCGCGTATTTGTAAATAAAGTTAAAGAAGGCAAACGGAGATGTTTTTACTGGAACGAATTTTAAGTACAAGGCCAGATTTATTTCAAATTGAGTTCAAGTTTGTAATATACAGTGAGAACAAGATCGCAACACTCGTAAAGATGATCTGAATTTGGTACCAGATACTTGTTATCACAACATTAAAAATAAGAGAAAAATTCATTCATTTTTATTAATTATTCTGTTTCAGTTGCAGAATACGAAATCGTAGAAATACAGCTAATAACTCTGATTCATACTGGACATTCCATGGATATAAAATAAATTCAAAATACTTGATACTTGTAGAATTCTGAATGACAGTATCAATATTTGTTTTTCGTGGCACATTTGATGATATTTTTAATGAAATATTCTTGAGAATGGAAGAAAACCGTAAATATCTGAGAAAATTGAAACTGTAGTCCTGACAATGCCTATATCGGGGAAAAGAGAATTTGATTTTCTATAATATGACAAAAAATACAGGGTATGCCATTTGAGTTTAAAAAGTTTTATCGGTTTCAAGTTTTCAAAGAGGAACGTAAAAAATGGAACACTTAGTATAATTTCCTTCAGGTAATTTTGATAGTGGAAGGAAGTGCATCTTCTGTTCTTTGTGTGCTACGAAAAACAAGTGAAAACTTCCAGAACGAAGAAATATATAAGGAGTTTTCGAATTAAAACTGATAAATAATGCAGTGAAATATTCTGTATTCTTGCCATCACTCTTGACAGCGGCAAATCATATAAAAAAAACAGCTACTACAAAGCGATCTTTATGTTGCCACATTTAACTTGGAATTGTTTCATCAAACAACTTCCCATCTCTACAAAAATATAAGTAGAAGAAAAAGATATACAACGGGTGTATTTTTTAACCCGAAACATTAAAATATCTCGAATAAAACATTTTTATAAACATAAGAAATGGTATCTTTAAAACAAAATTACTTAAGGACGGGATTTTGTACAAAAAATATCGCCCAGCGTGAGTCACGAAACGGGACCCCGGCAAGTGCTGCTCTTGCTCTAGCGGCCAACGCTTCAAGGTGTGTTGTTTAATAATTTACGCTGGACCGATATTTTAACAGGCCTCGCGCCCGATTGTTCAGGAACGGCTCCAATTTGTGTACATACAGTCTTATAAGGAAAGAGAGTAAAGATTTTATTAATCATTAATAGATTATCGAGGACAATAATATTTTTTTTATTAAGTAGGCAATAATTTTTAGTTAATAAGGTTAAACAATCTTATAATTACCATTCCTTTATTATAAAAGCAGATATAATTTTTAAAATTACATGTAGTTTCTTCTTCAAAAGCTTAAAAAACGTATAACAGGAACAGTCAACAGTCTAATGTTTATATTTTCACGTTAACGATCCGATACGTAAATTAACTGCTATTTTCAGTAAAAATGATATAA